AGACGCTCCAAGAGGCCTCCACTGGGGGACCCTTCCTCTGTGTGCTGCCCACTTCCATGATCGAGGCAATTCCTGTGGACATCGTTTCTGGATGGGCTTGTGGGGCTATTTTTTTCGGTCGCGGGCGGACGCGGATTCGCAGTCGCCGAGCTGAGAGGTCTGGGCCACGGGCTTGTCAAGTTAGCAACGCGCAAGCCTAAACCCTGGCGGGGTTACGCGAAGCGTCTAAAGTTCCACAGGTTGAGGGCGAATCGTTTTCAACATGTGGTTTTCGCCTTAGCGCCGCGCACATTCGTTTCAAACAGCTGCAGGAGCTTCACGGATTGAGGGCGGCTCCTCTTCAACATGTTGCACTCGCCTTATCGCGGCGCACATTCGTTTTTAAACTTTCCAAAAGTTTCACAGGTTCCCATCACCAGCGTGTTGAAACATTTTATATATATATATATACATGGGGGAAACAGTTTACAATGGTTTACCCCAGCGTTGCGGTGCGCCTATAGAAAATTAAAAGGAGGCGGGGCAAACTGGATCGGCGGAGGCGCCCCCGCGACCGCCCTGGCGCCCTGCGTGCAGGGGCGGATTCCTGCGCACCCCCTCCTGGCGTCAGGCCACGCCTGCCACGCCTTGCGACCCCAGCGTGAATAGAGACTGCGCTCAGGGAACACTCCCTGCGCACCGCGCACTCTGTCTGGGTTGCGAAGCGGCACTGAATACGCAAATGCGGCACGCCGCTGATAGATTTTACACAGCGGGGGCGATGTTGAACTCCCAAACCGAATGGCGAAAACCCAATGTAATAATTCATTCTCTGATCGGAAGACGGGAGCATCCCAATGCGGATATACGACACCGAATGCAAAATACCAAACGCTAGCGCGCGCGCGGCGGCGGCATGCCGCTGATAGGTTTTCATACAACGGGACGAAATTTCGCGCGCGCGGCGGCGGCATGCCGCTGATAGGTTGTATACAACGTGGCGAAATTTGATATCCCTAGCCCAATGGCGAAAACCCAATGTAAAAATTCATTCTCTGATCGGAAAACGGGAACATCCCAATGTGGATATACGACACCGAATGCACACATGCAAATCGCAAACGAGCGCGCGCGGCGGCGGCATGTCGGTGATAGATTTGATACAGCGGGGGCGACGTTGCACTCCCAAACCCAATGGCGAAAACCCAATGTAAACATTCATGCTCTGACCGGAAGACGGGGACATCCTAATGTGGACATGCGGCACTGGATGCAAAAATGCCAATCGCCAGCGAGCGCGGGGGCGGCATGCCGCTGAAAGATTTTTACAAAGGGAGCGATGTTGAACTCCAAAAATCCCATGGCAAAAACCCAATGTAGAAATTCATTCTCTGACCGAAAGACGGGAATATCCCCGTGTGGAGATACGACGCTGAACGCAAAATGCCAATCGCGAGCGCGCGCGCGGCGGCGGCCACATATAGATTTTGATACAACGGGAGCGATGTTGAACTCCCAAACCCAATGGCGAAAACCAAATGTAAAAAAACACATTCTCTGATCAGAAGACGGGTACATCCAGATGTGGACATACGACACTGAATGCAAACATGCCAAGCGCCAGCGCGCGCGCGGCGGCGGCATGCCGCTGATAAGTTGTATACAACGGGAGCGATGTTGAATTCCAAAACCCAATGGCAAAAACCCGACTCAAACAATTCACCCTCTGAGCGGAAGACGGGAACATCCCAATGCGGATATACGACACTGGATGCACAAATGCCAATCGCCAACGCGCGCGCGGCGGCGGCGGCATGCCGCTGCTAGTTTTATTGTGTATCTATATATATATATAAAACCAACGGGGGCAATGTTGAATTCCAAAACCCAATGGCGAAAACCCAATGTGAACATTCATTCTCTGATCGGCAGACGGGAACATCCCCATGCAAATATGCGACAGTGGATGCGCAAACGTCAATTGCCAACGCGCGCGCGCGGCGGCGGCATGCCGCTGATAAGTTTTATACAACAGGAGCGAGGTTGAACTCCAAAATCCAATGGCGACAACCTAATGTAAAAATTCATTCCCTGATCGGAAGACGGGAACATCCCCATGTGACTATGCGACACTGGATGCACACATGCCAGTCGCCAGCGCGCGCGCTAATAGATCTTATGCAACGGGGGCGATGTTGGACTCCAAAACCCACTGGCGAAAACCCGATGCAAAAAAATCCTTCTCTGATCGCAAGACGGGAACATCCACATCGGCATTCTCCCTGGTATATATACATGCGATTTCGATCGGCATCCGTTGCATTTTTTCGAAGGGGGCACATGAACACATAATTATTCGGATGCGTATTAATGCCAGTCGGGATCCGGGGGAGGGGAGGGGGGGGTGCCATCATTTGTTCCAAACCATCGTGTGGTGTTGGGTCCTCGTTTTGAAGAGACGGTGGCCCGCGTCTCCCAACCTCTCCTCCTCTGCCCCCTCCTCCTTCCTCCCCCTCTTCCTTGCGGTTCACCCGCCCAGTACAGCGTTTCGTGGCCCCACCGAAGGCCCCCAGTGGCTGCGTTCGCATGGCGGCCTCGGGCCATTTCGGCACACCCCTCACGAGGATCGTGGCCACATAGGGAACTCCACCGAAGGCGCCAGCGGCAGCGTTCGCATGGCGGCCTCGGGCCATTTCGGCACACCCCTCACGAGGATCGTGGCCCCATAGGGAGCTCCACCGAAGGCCCCCAGCGGCAGCGTTCGCATGGCGGCCTCGGGCCATTTCGGCACACCCCTCTCGAGGATCGTGGCCCCATAGGGAGCTCCACCGAAGGCCCCCAATGGCTGCGTTCGCATGGCGGCCTCGGGACATTTCGGCACACCCCTCACGAGGATCGTGGCCCCATAGGGAGCTCCACCGAATGCCCCAGTGGCTGCGTTCGCATGGCGGCCTCGGGACATTTCGGCACACCCCTCACGAGGATCGTGGCCCCATAGGGAGCTCCACCGAAGGCTCCACTGGCTGCGTTCGCATGGCGGCCTCGGGCCATTTCGGCACACCCAGCACGGCGCTTCGTGGCCCCATAGGGAGCTCCACCGAAGGCCCCCAATGGCTGCGTTCGCACGGCGGCCCCGGGCCATTTCGGCACACACCCCTCACGAGGATCGTGGCCCCATAGGGAGCTCCACGCATGGCTCCAGTGGCAGCGTTCGCATGGCGGCCTCGGGCCATTTCGGCACACCCCTCACGAGGATCGTGGCCACATAGGGAGCTCCACCGAAGGCGCCAGTGGCAGCGTTCGCATGGCGGCCTCGGGCCATTTCGGCACACCCCCACGAGGATCGTGGCCCCGTAAAGAGCTCCACCGAAGGCTCCAGTGGCTGCGTTCGCATGGCGGCCTCGGGCCATTTCGGCACACCCCTCACGAGGATCGTGGCCCCGTAGTGTGCTCCACCGAAGGCTCCAGTGGCTGCGTTCGCACGGTGGCCTCGGGCCATTTCGGCACACCCCTCACGAGGATCGTGGCCACATAGGGAGCTCCACCGAAGGCGCCAGCGGCAGCGTTCGCATGGCGGCCTCGGGCCATTTCGGCACACCCCTCACGAGGATCGTGGCCCCATAGGGAGCTCCACCGAAGGCCCCAGTGGCTGCGTTCGCATGGCGGCCTCGGGCCATTTTGGCACACCCCTCTCGAGGATCGTGGTCCCATAGAGAGCTCCACCGAAGGCCCCCAATGGCTGCGTTCGCATGGCGGCCTCGGGCCATTTCGGCACACCCCTCACGAGGATCGTGGCCCCATAGGGAGCTCCACCGAAGGCCCCAGTGGCTGCGTTCGCATGGCGGCCTCGGGACATTTCGGCACACCCCTCACGAGGATCGTGGCCTCCACCGAAGGTGCCAGTGGCAGGGTTCGCATGGCGGCCTCGGGCCATTTCGGCACACCCTCACGAGGATCGTGGCCTCCACCGAAGGTGCCAGTGGCAGGGTTCGCATGGCGGCCTCGGGCCATTTCGGCACACCCCTCACGAAGATCGTGGCCCCATACGGAGCTCCACCGAAGGCGCCAGTGGCAGGGTCCGCATGGCGGCTCGGGCCATTTCGGCACACCCCTCACGAGGATCGTGGCCCCATAGGGAGCTCCACCGAAGGCTCCAGCGGCTGCGTTCGCATGGCGGCCTCGGGCCATGTCGGCACACCCCTCACGAGGATCGTGGCCCCATAGGGAGCTCCACCGAAGGCCCCAGTGGCAGCCTCCCTTATGGCTCTTAGAGCCCTCTCCTGCTTCTGCTCCTGGGTCTGGGGGGCGCCGTCCTCGTCGTCGTCGGCGCCCGCGAAGTCGGCCACGAACGTGTCCCTGAGCATGTCGGGCTCCGGCGGGAAGTGGTGGCCACATCGGGAGCGCGGGCGAAGATGTTATTCACAATTGCGGTAGTCACAACTGTGTATGGTTGGGTCTTTCGCCAAGCTAATTTAACCGGTTTTAGACATTACCAGAAATGACGTTCTGGAAGGATTCAGGATTAGGCGGGCGCAAAAGTTACGTTGATTCTCTGTGTCCAAGCCCCAAGAATGGCGTTCTGGCGCGATTCAGGAACGTCAGGACGCAACAGTCAGGTTGACCCGTGGCGTTGGAATCCCGAGAACCATGTTTTGGCATGATTCAGGGTCTTCAAACGTTTGTCTTCCAACGAGGCAGTTCCCGTAATGGAAATTAACAGTTGTAGGGGCCTATGAAGAGAGAGCATGGAGAGAGGGTTTACTCCAGCATCGTTGATGACTCTTGGGTTTGCACTTGTCCTCCTCCTCCTCCTCCTCCTCTTCCTCCTGCTCCTCCTCCTCTTCCTCCTCCTCCTCCTCCTCCTCCTCCTGCTCCTCCTCCTCTTCCTCCTCCTCCTGCTTCCTCCTCCTCTTCCTCCTCTCCTCCTCCTCCTCCTCCTCCTCCTCCTCCTCCTCTCCTCCCCCTCCTCCTCCTCCTCCTCCTCCTCCTCCTTCTCCTCCTCCTCCTCTTCGTAATACCAACCTCCATAGCGTCTACGCCGCGAGCGAGCCCGGAGCGTGCGCTGGCGCCGCGCGCGAGCGCACGCATCCGGGGAGAACGCAGAAGGAACCTGTGAGGGAGGACAGCGAAGATGTGATGAGATGAGATGAAATGAAATGAGATGAGAAGAGATGAGACCAGTCGCGAAGCGAGTCTATACATACATTGCTTACCCCGAGCCGCCTTCCCAGCCTTGCTGAGAACTTTGGGCCCTAGGTCTCGGGAAACACGGTCCACATACACCCGCCGAGAGGGAGGACAGCGAAGCAGACGGGTCCCGAGGGAGACGGCCACTGGACCCCTGGGGCCCTCCACCAGGACCAGCTCCTCGTCTGGAGTCGCTTCCTGACCGCCCCGAGGCCTGGGGAGGGCCCGAGGGCTGCGAGTTCGGGGGGCACCCAGAACTGCCCACACCGCTGCGCACCAGTAATTGCTCCCCCAGGCTTTCTGAAGGGGCCCTGGGACACACAAATAAATACACACAAATAAACAGATTCCCCAAATTTTCACATATGTTCTGGGTTTTTGTCTTCCCCCCCCCCCTTCCCGTATTTTCCCATATCTTCTGGGGAATCGACGATTCATTGGTTCTGTGTGTTTTTTCCCCTCCTGACTTTCGTCTATCACCAGAGGGTTCGAGGAGGGTCCAGCCGCGGCACCGCGGCCCTCCCGAGGCCGAGCAGCGGCATCGGCATGCTTCCTCCTCCCACGGACAAAAAGGAGCCGCTGCCTCTAGGGGACAAAAAAACTACCTCGCTTTTGACCACCCTCGCTTCCAAGAGATACCAAGCGATGCCAAACTACGGCCTGTACTGGTCAGGCCGCTTGACGAGGAGGCGCGTGGTATGACTTGGTTTTGCCTGGAAGCGAAAGCGGGGTAGGTAATTCACGCTCTGAGCCTCACGGACCCGCCTGCCTCACCCTGAGATCCGACGTAGCGAACAAAAATGCAACATCGTAGCAAATCGCGCCCAGAACCCTAGACCTTGGGGCCCTCTTGGGAGGCCTCTTGGGGCATCTTGGAGGCCTCTCGGGCTGTCTGGGGGCCGTCTTGAGCGCCTTGGAGCGATCGTTCCATCTTGGGAGTCACTTGGGGCTCCCTCTCGGCCCGTCTTGCGGCCCTCCAGGGCCCGAAGAAGTCACGCGGGGAGACACGCGGGGACTGAGACGCCAGGACCTCGGGGCACGGCGAGAGGAGGGGAGGCCCGAGGGAGGCCGGCCGGCGCCTCAGGCCTCGTCCGCCGGTGCGGCATAGCCCGGCCAGCCGAGCTGCTCGCCGAGGAACAAAAAGCGGCACCAGCGTACACTTTCTCGGCGGTCCGCGCGGATCTCCTGGATCTGAGCTGGGACCGCCCCCCTGGCGCGCGGCGCCGCCGGGGGGTCCGAGCGCAGATCCAAGAGATCCGCGCGGACCGCCAAACGCATGTTGCTCCCATCGTATTTCAGGATCGCACCCCAGAAGTAATTTCGAGCACCCAGGAAAGCAGCATCGAAACAGTGTCGAGCGAGTATCGCCTCCCAGGGCCCGACACGTGACAACCCTCCAGTCTCGGCACTCTCTACTACTCCTGGTAATCAAGGCTAAAGTAGGTTGGAACATCATAACTGGGGAAACCACAAGGTACCAATACCGCTACTCCCCAGACCTCTCCCAGTGTGCGTTCTGACAAGAATGTCGAGGCGATTCCAGCGGTGGTGACGAGGGCCTCCCAGGAGGCCCAAAACGGGGGAAAACGAGGGAGGGGCTCTGAATAACGCCAACAGTTTATGCTTGTGCAGCTGTTTGTTCTTCGAGCTTAAGCTCAGGGGGCATCGCCTCTCAGGAGAGACAAGTTTACTATCACCACCAGCTAGGGGGCTGACCGCTCCCTCCCCTCGAGCTGGTGGCACCTCCTTCCGTGAACTCTCTGGAAACACACCCGGAACGAGGTGCCGCCAGCTCGAGAGGGTCGGACAGCCACCCCCCAACCCTGACCTTCCAGAGTGCTGAAAAAGAAAAAAACAACGGAGGACGTCGACATCCTGGTGCTATTTTCAAGCCCTCGTGGAAGGTCAGGGAAGTTGGTGGTAGTGCGAAAAAGAAAACGCCATAAACATAAACTTTTGGCGCTCAGTGCGGATTTCTTGGATCCGCGCTGGATCCCCCTCCCTGGCGCGCGGAGCGCGCCAGAGGCGGCGCCAGAGGCGCCGCCAGGGGGGCCCAGCGCGGATCCGAGAAATCCGCGCGGAGCGCCAAAAGTTCATGATTATGGCGTTTTTTCTTCTTCGAGCTACATTTGTCTCTAGTGAGCCTCGAAGATCCTCGCGATCCTGCTCTCCAGCGCCTCCGCCGCCCTGCCGGCCCCGGCGGCCGCGAGCAGCCTCGCCTGCTTCTCCTTGCGGGGGGAGGTTGAGGAGGAGGAGGAGGAGGAGGAGGAGGAGGAGGAGGAGGAGGAGGAGGAGGAGGAGGAGGAGGAGGAGGAGGAGGAGGAGGAGGAGGAGGAGGAGGAGGAGGAGGAGGAGGAGGGAGGAGGAGGAGGAGGAGGGAGGAGGAGGAGGAGCAGGAGGAGAAAGAGGAGAAGGAGGAGGAGGAGGAGGAGCTGTGTGCCGGAACTGCCGGCGACACCTCGGCGACACCTCAGCGACACATGGATCCCTAGAGACCCGACGCCCCACACACACACACACACACACACACACACACACACACACACACACACACACACACACACACACACACACACACACACACACACACACACACACACAACACACACACAAATTTGAGCGGCGGGCTTTTGGTCGTCTTCGGCCTCCGGGGGGCCTCGCTGGGCCTCGGGAGCGTAAGAACACGACTCAGGATGAAAAAGCGGCCCCGAGGGAAGTGGTCCAGACCTCCAAGTCCCACGCATGGAAACAATTGAAGCGGCCGGATGTCTGGGTCAGATCGTGCGCAGCATCGCGCTGCATCGCCGATGCATCGGCGATGTGGCGAACAAGCCGCCGACCCGATCTACTACGAGGCCCCGTCTGGGCGTCCTCGATCCAGAGCCCCCGACGTCGCGTTTCTTTCACGACTTGGACCCCCAGAGGACTCGACACCCTCGAGACCTGGGACCAGCTTTTGCATTCCGAGTTTTCTGGCATATCCTGAAGCCGGCGAGGACCCCAGAGCCCGGAAATAGCGAAAAACCTTCCGTCCCTGAGATCCGACGTGGCGAACAAGGGTGCAACATAGTAAAAGTCACGCCGAGAGCCTCAAACCCCACGCTTCTGCGTCACTTTCCGAGCCGGATCGATCCGTGAGGTCCCTAGGGCCCGAAAACAAAGGCGCGACCGCCCGGCTCGAAAAAAATGGGACGCCAGGATGTCAGGGTCATGATGGGCCTGGTTTCCACCACCACCACCAGAAGTTGGAAAGGGAGGGGTCCTCCTCCTCCTCCTCCTCCTCCTCCTCCTCCTCTTCGTCGTCCTCCTCCTCCTCGTCCTCCTCCTTCCCCTCTTGCGAGTCGACGCTAACCGACGCTCGCCGACGCTCATCGGCGCTACGTCAACGCCACGCCGGCGCGACACGTGAGCGTTTTCTTATTCGGCGTTTCGACGTTGGGCGGAGGGGGGGGGGAGGGGGGGTCCTGGCTCTGGACCTCGGCATAGTGAGACTGTTTGCTCTGGAGCGTCCTATGGGGGAGGCTCCACCTGCTCGAAACAGGAGCAAAAAACAGCCAAGATCTACTCCAGGGGGGGGGAGGGGGGGGTGCGAGGGCCCACGCCGATCGGCAAAACAATGAGTAAGAAAACGATCACCATCGGCGCCAAGTCGGCGCTGCATCGGCCCTAATCGGCCTTGTCTCCTCGACTACCAAACAGTAGCGAACGCTGGTGCAGTCTAAGATCTAAGGCACGAAATCATATCAAGCTTATATATGAGTGGCCAATGAAGAAACATTTGTTCCGCCTCCGATCTCCTGCCTGGCAGCCTTCGACTTCCAGATATCCGCCTGAGTGAAGGGGTCCTGATTGGAGCCCATTCTTTCTTCATGCCTCGCGATATGACTAGCCCCGCCCCCCCCCCTACCCCCCCCTGGTGAGGTCCCGAGTCGCGCCGGCGCCGTCTCGGAATGTGCAACTCCTCAGTCTGCATTCCCCGGCGGCGCCAGCGCAATCGTGACGTGACGGGCCCCCTCCCCCCCCCCTCGTCACGCTCATCGCTCTCGTTATCGCTAGGGGTTGACTTGAGGCGGCGGGGGGGTCGACCCCCACCGCCTCCCATTATCTGGAGCTCCAGATCCGGGGCTGGAGAAGCCTAAAGGAGATGGATCACGAAGGGAGAATGGAGCCAAGTCCGCTCCGAATCGGTCCCTGGACCCCTCCTGTGGGTCAGAACTGACAAAATTGTTCGAGCCGCATCCCTGCTGGCCAAAACCACCTCAGCCCCGCAGGCGGCTCCAAGGTCCTGAAGCTTTCCTGGACGGCTTGTTAGCTGCGTCGGGACACTCATCTGGTTGTTGTTCTCGTACAGGTACACGGCGGTCACGTGCTCTAAGGCCTGCAGGTCCTCGCGGCTCACCCAGCTGATGCAGTCCGTCGGGCAGGCCTCGATGGCCCAGTGGATCTCGACCTCTGCATCGCCCCACTGGTTGTAGGCCAACGCCTTCCCGTGCACGCTACTCATCATGAACGTCTTGGGGGCCGCGGAGAAGCACTGGAGCGCATTTGTTAACTCGCTGCCACACGGGGCGCTATGGGGGGGGAGGGGGGCGAACGGGAGGGGGCATAACCACGCTGATGGGGGGGGAGCGTCACGACATGGGGGGGGCGGGAGGGGGGGGGGAGGGGGGGCACAACGCACGGCATGCCCCAGAGGGTAACAGAAAAGCTCTCCTGGTAGCACCCGACGCAGTTGAAGGGGTTCACGTACACGTACTTCTGCTGCTTCCACATCGCGCCCCGGTCCTGTGGAGGCCGCGGGGTTCGAGAAGGCCCGGGGTCGGAGCATCGCGCCACATCGCCGATGCATCGGCGATGCATCGGTGACATCCATGAAGGGTGGGAAGCGGGCACCAGCACCAAAGCAGGGGTTCGCCTCCATCAGGGAAAGATGATCCTACATTTGGGTATTGGTGGTAATATTTCGATCATCTAGCAGGCCCGAATAAATATTAGCACCATCACTCACGTCGGGATCATCTTGCCTCGGTGGAGGCACACCGCCGATATTGGTGATGGTATCAACCTGCAAACCTCCGACATCTGCGTGGACAAACAATCGGGCTCCACATCGCGCCGCATCGTCCGTAAATCGGCGATGCGTTTGGGCAGCCCAGACGGGGCAAACCAAAGAGGGCACTGATGGCGCTACTTCCTGGAACTCCTCTGGCGCGTTCTGACCAGGCCGCCGAGGCGAATCCGAATGTGGCGACGAGGGACGCGTAGCTGTACTGGTCTTTTCGTCAAGTGGTGGATCCTCCTCTGGAAGCTTGTCGTAGCGAGACATCGACCTCGGGGTGCCCCTCCACTCCGGCTTGCTATTGAGTGGGTCGCGCGACCGCTTCCACGTCGGGCCGAGGTCGGTTGAGACCTCGGCCTTCGGGCCGGAGTGCCCTCGCTCAGACAGCGTTCCGTCGTACACGCACCTCTCGTCGGGGAAGCCCAGGACCCCGTATGCGTCGTTCAGCAGCATCATGAGCTCGCTGCTCTCTTCGCCGGCGACGTCTGGGTGGCTGATCTTCAGCAGGGACCGGTATGCGTCCTTGATCTCGTCCTGTCTGGCCTTCGGGAGGGCAATCTGTGAATCCCACCAGCCCTTCGGGCTAAGGTGGTCTAACGATATCACTCCTTCCTCTTTGAAGAACCCTCTTCCCTTCGGGGAGCTGTACCCTCCCCTCTCCTCCCTGAGGTTTTTTGGGGGGGCGGGCCGCGAGGTGTTAGGAGGTCATGTTTTGCCCAAGATGCCTCCAGGAGGGCCTCTTTTGCTTCAAGATGGCCTCCAAAACGGCTCAAGATAGCCAGAGATGCTTTAAGATAGCTTCCGACATGCCTCCAAGAGGCCCGACGAGGGCCGCAAGACGGCTCCAGGTGCTCTCGAAGCCCCCGTCAAGACCCCCCCGAAAGGTTAACCCTTCAAACGTCGAGAGGAACTCAATGATATTTGCCGCTTTCTCGCCTTTTGACTTCCGATGCGCTGTATAGACCTGCAGATGGCCCAAACATTGCCCAAGAGAGCCCCAAGATGGGCCAAGAGGCCCCCAAGACGGCCCAAAGAGAACCCAAGATCGCCTCAAGAGGGCCCCAAGCGGCGATTCCGAGGGCGACAGAGGGGGGACCAAGCGTTAAGCCCGCTTCTCTTTACCGACGCCCTCCACGGTGTTTCCAAGAGGCCATCCACAGCTCCCAAGAGGCCCCCACCCCCAAGGCAGCCCCTAGAGGGCCCCGAGACACCCTCAAAGAGCTCCAAGAGGACACCAAGGTCCCCCACAAGAGCCCCAAGAGGGCTCCAAGAGGCGATTTTGACGGCTCTGTCCTCGTCCTTGTTGTCCTCCTCCTCCTCCTCCTCCTCCTCCTCCTCCTCCTCCTCCTCCTCCTCCTCCTCCTCTTCGTCATTAGACAAGCGCGTTCCACTACTCGCAAAGTAAGTACACGCAAATGTGGCACGCACTCGGTGAGTCATCGTCATTGCGCTCATCGTCTTCTTTTCCTTTTCCTCTTCCTCGTCCTCGTGGTCGCCGTCGTGGTCGTCGTCCTCCTCCTCCTCCTCCTACTCCTCTTCCCCTGGCACCAGCGCGGGCCCCAAGGATGGCCAGAAGAGGCCCTCCAAGGCCACCCCCTTGCTCCAGAGATCTCTCTGTTCACCCTGGCTGCCACCTTTGTTTCACTGTATATGTCTCTTCGTTTCTTTCCCCGTCAGCTCTCATGGGTTAGGTTCCTGAATTGGCCTGGTGGGGATACTCGACGCGTGAAGTTGATACCACTGCCTCCCCGGAGCTCTCACGGGGGGCCTTCTGACCCTTCGCGGGCGAAGCACAGCTTGAAATAAACTGTTCCTCCATCGTGGACGCCTGCCTTGGCGCGACACCCCTCACGAGGATCGTGGCCTCCGAGGAGGGAGCCGAAATCGACTGCCTCCCCCTCCCGCCGCAAGAGGCCTCCCAGAGCCCCCTCAGAGGCCCCAGGGGCCCGCAAGACGCCGCCAAGGAGCCCCAAGAGGCCCCCAAGAGGCCCCCAAGAGCGCTCCAGGTCCGGCGGAAGGAGGAGCGAAGCGATTAAAGAAACTGTCCCTCCCTCGTGGACGCCGTGGCCCTCACGTGCCACCGTGGCAGCAAGGACTTTCCAGCTTCCCGGCCGCCTCGGGAGCCGGCGCCCCCGGGGACGGGAACGTCGGGGGGATGCACCGTGGCCGTGCCTCCTCCGCTCCAGGGTTAGGTCGGGCATGTCCCTCTTCAGGGGGACTTTGGACGAAACATCAGAAATATCCTACAAAAAATTACAAAAAATTCCAAAAGATTCCAGAAATCATGGAGAAGTCGTCCACAGACTACTTCTTGACTATCCTTGACTGTTCCTTCAGTAGAGGGACAGGCCCGACTTACCTCCAGGGCCAGGAGCTCGAGGCGGAGCCCAGGGCTGTGACGCACAGGGAGGGGCAGCGGCACCAGCGCGGGTTCCGGATCTCACGAGAAAAGGGAGGGACCTGCCTCGGGGAGCGGAAGCGCTGTAGATGCTGGGCCTTTTGCGTGGCGCTGCAGCCCTGGACACACACACACACAAGCCGCGCCCTGACGGCGCATAGGAAAGATCAGGCTGAACACACATGCGAACCTGCATGCACGAAGGCGTGACAAATCGCGACCGCTGAGCCAGCGCAGTGCCTCGGGGAGCTATCGTTGCACCCTTTGCTCCAGCGTAGTGCGAGGGACAGCTGGCACAGAAGATCGCGAGGGCTCTGGAACGGCGGGGATGGGAGGGGGCGATGGAGGAAAAGGGGGGATACAGAGAGAGAGAGAGAGGGAGAGGGAGAGGAAGAGGAGGTTTCCAGTCTCATGTGCAGGCCCAAGTGCCGACTCAGTTCTTTCCTGCTGACTCGAGGCGGGTCTGCTTCGAGCTGTCCTAGCAAAGGGGGGCGGGTTTGATCTTGATGTCCAGGGGTGCCCGGTGGGGCGGAGTCTGTTTCGATCAGTCTGGGAACTGCTGTAGGGTCTCAAGTGTCTTGGGTTCTCGTTCAACAGTTGACCCAGCGGGGGGGGGATCTGTCTCAATGTGGCGCGGAACGGGCTCCCGTTCCTGAGGGAGCAAGAAGAAGAGTGCCGAATGACACGCCGCGGTGGGGAACCCATCCGCGCGCTGGTGCCGCAGAAATACAATGCCTTCGGGCAGAAGACAAAAAGCGTGTCACCGATCGACAGCGAGTCACTGATGCTCTCTTTTGAAGGGGCCCCAGGACACACAAATAAATACACACAAATAAAAATATTCCCCATATTTTCCCATATTTTCTGGGTTTCTGTCTTCCCCCCCACTTCCCATATTTTCTCATATTTTTTGGGGAATCGAGGATTAATTGTGTCTGTGTGTTTCTTTTCCTCCTGATCTTTCCCTTTCGCACGAGCGGCGCACCCCGCAGTTGCGGGATAGGAGTGACGAGGCGGCGGGGACGTCGGCAGTCTGCGAGGCTCGGAAGAGGCCCCCCGCAGGCGCCTCGTTCGTACAAATCGTACAAGCCAAGCTCGCCGCAGGCGCCGACGTGTGGGTGGATCGCGGGCGGGTCGCGGGCGGGTCGCGGGGAGGGTCGCCGACGTGGCCTGAGGGCCTCAGCGGGATCTCGTGGGGCAGTGTGGGATACAGAAAAGGGATGCAGAACTCGTGAACATCCTCGAACAGTCTGTCCGGGGTCAGCCTCAGAAGCCCTGAAGCATCTCGAAGAATCCAGATGCACCCTGACGAGTCTTGAGAAAACGTGAGAAGAAATCGCTGGGAGTCCAGATGCACCTGGAAGCCTGACGAGCCCTCTGGAAGTAGAGTAGCCGCGCTGCGGAGCGGGATCGCCAACGTAAACTACGACACATTTGGCTGCATTCGGATTCAGGCGCAATGCAGTCAGAGCCGAGTCGGAGCACCTGAAAAAAAGCCGACACGACTGGATGAGGGCAGGACGAGGAAACGCATTGGGAATGGGGTGGTAGTGGGCGCTAATCGACGTGGAGAGGGAGGGGCACAACCATAACTCATGGCATTTACGTAGCGCCCCGCAAATGCGGATAAGAGTGATGGGGGAGGTGGGGACGTCGGCAGCTTACGAGGCTCTGGAGAAGCCCGCCGCAGGCACCAAAGTTCCACAAGTTATACAACGAGCCGGCCGCAGGCGCAGATTGTTTCGTTGAACAGATGTGGGTCGGTCGCGGTCGGGTCGCGGGTGGGTCGCAAGTGGGTCGCGGGTGGTTCGCGGATGGATCGCGGACGTGCCGCTGTTTGGTCGCGGGTGGGTCGCGGGGTGGGTCGCGGGTTTAGAGGGCAGAAAATTCATCCCAGAAGAATCACCCCGTCACGCGAAGCCGTTTAGAAAACACACACACGGACATAATCGAACAGGGCAGGGTTGTTTAGTCAACGCCCAGGGCCGTATGAGAAAAAACAGCAACAGCATCAACAACAACCACAAACAACGCAACAAGCAGAACTCTCACCACGAATTCCTTATTCAGCCAAGCACCCAGGGACAATGAATGACCGTTGGCCCCCTCACTCTGACAAAAAGTAATTGAGTAAACGAGCACCTACGAATACATATTTACCCATTTACTATTACATTCCGGTTCCTCAGCGAATGCGAGGACGACGACGACGACGACGACGACGACGACGACGACGACGAGGGCGCGAACCACTTACGCAAGCGATGCCTCCACGCTAAACCCCCAGCAGCTCGCGAAGGTCGGAGGGCGACCCCGGCGCGAGGGGCCGAGGCGTCGAGCATCGAGCCTCGAGGAGCGAGTCTGATGCGCTTCGACCGGCGCGGGCGAGGCCTCCGCGCTCACCCCCCGGCAGCTCCTGGAGGCTGGAGGGCGCTGCCCGCGCGAGGGGTCGAGGGGTCGAGGCTCGAGGCTCGAGGCTCGAGGCTCCCCAGCACGAGGCTCGAGGCACGAGGCTCGAGGCTCGAGGTCGAGGCTCGAGGCTCGAGCGCTTCGACCATCGCGAGGATCGAGGCCTCCGCGCTCACCCCCAGCAGCTCGTAGAGGTTCGAGGGCGCCGCCCGCGCGAGGCCGCCGCGCGCCGCCGCCGCGCGCCGGGCGCCGCGCCCGCCGCGCGCGCGGCGGCGCGCGCGGAGGGCGCCCGCGAGGCAGGAGGCGCCCAGCGGCAGCGGCGGGGCCTGCTGGGGGGCTCTGTGGGCCGCGGAAGCGGCAGGGCCATTTTGAAGGGGCCCTGGGACACACAAATGAATACACACAAACAAAAAGATCCCCCATATTTCCCCCTATTTTCGGGGTTGTTGTCTTCCCCCCCACTTCCCATATTTTCCCATATTTTCCTGGGAGGCGACGGTTAATTGTGTCTGTGTGTTTCCTCCCCTCCTGACTGCGGGCCGCGGAAACGGCAGGGCCGTTTTGTCCACCGTTTCCAAAAAAGTGTCCCTTGGAAATGGAAACGGCCAAAAAAACACGGCCACAGGGGAAACGGCAACAAAAACGGCTCCAGGATGGGAAGCGGCCTCGGAACCGGCAACAAAAACTGCAACAAAAAGGGGTTGGCGGCGCCTCGCCATCGCTCGGACGGCCACGCGCAGGGAGGGGCCCGGGGTAAGAGCGGCCTGCGGTGCGCGGCTATTTGGGGGGCCGCGGGGGGACCACACGCGGGCGCGCGAGACGCTACTGCGTCACATCGCCGTCGGCGATCGGGGGGGGGGCCCAGCGGGCCCGCACGTCACTCTTCCGTCTGGTCGGCATTACAGGTGCATTCGAAGAAGAAACAACCACATAAACAAGAACTCTTGGCGCTCCGCGCGGATTTCTTGGATTCGCGCTGGACCCCCCCCCCCTGGCGCGCGGAGCGCGCCAGGGGCGGCGCCGGAGGCGCCGCCGTGGGGCCCAGAAACGGATCCAAGAATTCCGCGCGGAGCGCCAAAAGTTTATGTTTATGTTTGTGTTGTCTTCTTCTACGCATGGCTCCCCAAGCAGTGCTTGCACTGAAGGGGGTCCCAGCGAAGGCTTCGAGAGATCTCGCGAAAGGGCCTGGCCGATCTCGATGGGCGGCAGGGCGCCCAGGTCCCCGGATCGGGGGTTCCTAGGTTCCCGGTCGCTGGTTCCGGGCCGGCGGGCTGCGGGACTCCCGGGTTGCCGGGTTCCTGGGTTCCTGGTCAATCTCCTCATCGATCGGTCTCACCACCAATGTCACTACCCACCTCACAATCGACCTCACGATTGATCTCACAATCAATCTCACGATCGATCTCGATATCGATCTCACTATCGATCTCACTATACATCGCACGAGCGGTATCACGATCGATCTCAACCGATCTCACTGAACCGACTTCACTGTCGGTCTCACGATCGACCTTACTATCGTCATCACTTTCGATCCCACGATCGATCTCACTATCGATCTCAATATCCATCTCACGAATGTTCAAACAATCCACTGATTGGGGATTTCTCGCTGAATGATCCAGGATGCAACTTTAGTGCGCGCGTTTCTGGCTGAATGATCCAGGATCCTTCCTTGATGGTCCTCGCCGCGAAAAAAACACGCGTCCGAGCGATGCTGAAGCGCGCACCAGGGGGGGCAGAGGGAGGGGGGAAGTGAGGGGCAACGATATGGGGGGGTACAGGCATACGAAGGGAAACATCGACCTGGAATCGGCCATACATCGCCGATGGATCGGCGATAGGCTCTGATAGTGAATCCGCAGCAGGGGCAATAGAACCCCTATCGGCGATCAATGGGCAATTGGGGGTCGATGCATCCCGCCCTAATTATGCCTATCCCCCCCGATCGCTGCCCCTGTGGACAGTGTCTTCGAGGGAGGCCGCTTCTTGGCAAGAGGCCGCTTCTCAGAAGGGGGGTCTCTTTCCAAGCAACCGTCCCCCCCCAGCGACAACTCGGGAGCGGCCAAGAGGGGGGTGCCCAAGAGGGGGGGGTGCAAATCATGACCGGCGGCATGTGCGCGGCCCAGCGGGGGGCCCAGGGACGTAATGAAATAAGAAGAGGCGCCATGAGATCTGGAGAAATAGCATGGCCCACGCCATGATATCCACCTCCCCCTAGTCATCACCCCCCTCTTTTCCGGCCCCGAGCCTTAGAGGGAGGCCGCTTCTTGGCAAGAGGCCGCTTCTGAGAAGGGGTCTCTTTTTCCAAGCAACCGTCCCCCCCCCCAGCGACGACAGCGGGGCCTTAGGAGGGGGGGTGGAGGCCGGAACAACCGCATAAGCACAAACTGTCGGAGCTCCGCGCGCATGCCTTGGATCTGCGCTGAGGGACCCCTGGCGCGGCGTGCTCCGCGCGCCGCCCCTGGCGCGCGGCGCTCCGCGCGCCAAGGGGGGGATTGTCACGCGCAGGTCCCCGGAAGTCCGCGCGGAACTCCGAAGATGCGTGGTTGTGCAGTTGTTCTTCTTCGACCGGGAGGAGCAAAACAGGAGGTTGCGGCAACGCGGCAACGTCCTCATCATCACCATCACCGTCTCGAACATGATCAGAATCATCCTCATCAGCGCAACCGCCATCATCATCGTAAAGCAATCCTCATCATCAGATCATCCTCATTCTCTTCCCCATCCTCATTCTCCTCATCCTCATCCTCCTCGGAGCCTCAAACATCAGCATCACCACTCATCATCACTCATCTCCTCTTCCCCCTCATCACCATTATCATCATCATCATCTTTATCATCATAATCATAATCATCATCATCATCATCATCATCATCATCATCATCATCATCATCATCATCATTATCATCATCATCATCACCACCATCATCATTATCATCATCAGCAGCATCATCAGCATCATCATCATTAGCTCGATCATAATCCGCATCAGCATCAGCATCAGCATCATCATCGTCATCTGCATACTCATCATACTCCTCCTCATCATCATCCTCCTGCTCATGCGTATTCCTCATCCTCGCCCCCGATACACTCACATAATTCAAGCATCCAACACAGCCGAGGTGCACCTATGACGGCACGGCCCGCATTGCTCCAGGAAAGCCCCCAAGACGGCCCTGCGAAAAGCGTGCCACGCGCTACGGGTCTCCCAAGCCTCGATCTCCATCGCGTCACACATTCTGACCTCCGTGCTTCCTCGCGCCAAAGACCACCGAGAAAGCTGGGGTGGCACGGTGGCGGGACTTGCCGCAGGCAGCTGGAAAATTAAAGGTGGGACCACAAGTCGTAAGCACGCGAGCGGCCCAAGATCGCCGACCCACGTCCCTCGACGCCACGTGGGCCACAGCAGAAGCAACACGAACGGCAACGCTGGCTGAGGGTCGCACACCTGACATATCCCGAGGAGGGAAAACAGATCTTCCGCCGCCTGGAGCGCTGTTCCTCCCGCTGGGGAAAGACGGGGGGAAGGGGGGGTCCTCCGTCTCTCACCTCTGGGGCCGCATCGCTCTAGAACTGAAGTGTTTTTTCCCCCGCCGGGCCCCAGCTCCGGGCAAACAGACTATCCGGGACGAGGCACGCGACCCCGGGAAGTGATCTATAGAGCTCCTGGGACACCGTGTTGAAAAATCAAGACGTCGGATGTCTGGGGATCTCACGGAGCCCAAACAACCTATATATATATATATATGTATGTGTATATATATACATATATATATATATATACAGAACAACAACCAAAAACAAAAAAACAAACAACATCCCGAGCTCCGCGCGGACTTCTTGGACCTCCGCTGGGCACCCCCCCCTCGAGCGCGGAGCGCGCCAGGGGCGGCGCTGGAGCTCAGAGCTTCCAGGAGAGTCCGGCCGTGGTGACGAAGGCTCTCCGGGAGGAGCCGCCGCGTCGGCACCCCTACCTGAGATCTGGTGCTGCGAGCAGACCGGCAACGTCGCAGAGCGTGAGGACCCCATCCTTCTGCCGGGCTTTCGATGAAGGGGCCCCAGGACACACACAAATAAATACACACAGATAAAAGAACCCCCCATGTTTTCCCATGTTCTCTGGGTTCCTGTCTTCCCCCCCCCCCACTGCCCATATCTTCTCATATTTTCTGGGGGATCGACGAAGAATCGTGTCTGTGTGTGTTTTTTCCCTCCTGATTCGAGCCGGGTCGATCCTGACTACCTACCAGACCACCCCAACCCAACCCGAAGACCCGAATTTGACCCGAATTTCGGGTGGGGGGGGGGTACGGATACCATGTGTTTTTTCAACGTTCCCCGACCCCCCCCCCACTGGAAATCGAGGATAAATTTGGGCCTTCGGGTTGGGTTGGGGTGGTTTGGTGGGTGGTGAGATCCGCGACGGCCCCGGGGCCCGAGAGGCCGCGCGGCAGGCGCCGGGCGTGGCCGCCCAAGAAAGTGCCGAGCGCCGGGAGGTCGCGAAAGGGTTCTCTGCCCGCCGAGGGGGCCGCGGCGGCGCCTCGCCCGCCGCGCGCGGCGCCGCCCAGCGTGCGGCCTGGGGGGGGGGTCGTTAAAGGCTTAACGACTTCTGCCGTCCTTCGACTCGCGCTGGAGCGGCCGCGAAGTGCTCGAACTTTCCCTGGAGATCTCTGGATTTACCTGGATTTACCCAGATTTATCTAAATTTACCTGGATTTACCTCGATTTATCTGCATTTACCTGGGTTTATCTGGCTCGATTCTCACAAGTCGATTGGCGAAAAGTCGACAAGCCCTAAGGGAGGGGGGAGAAGGCACGGACACACGAGGGGCCTGCTTTCCACCACCACCGCCATGAGTTGGAGGGGGAAGGGGGTCCTCCTCCCCACTCTTCTTCCTCCTCCTCCTCCTCCTCCTCCTCCTCCTCCTCCTCCTCCTCCTCCTCCTCCTCCCCTCCTCCTCCTCCTCCTCCTCCTCCTCCTCCTCCTCCTCCTCCTCCTCCTCCTCTTCCTCCTCATCCTTCACCTCCTTCCCCCTCTAACTTATGGTGGTGGTGGTGGAAAACAGGCCCACCAGACCCAAACATCGGGCGTCTCGATTTGTTCGAGACACGGCGTACCTGCCAGACCACCCCAACCCAACCTCAAGACCAGCATTTCGGGTGGGGGGGCGGGTTCCAGATGTGTGGTTCTCAATGTTCTCGAAGATCCCCCCACCGAAAAGAGGGCAAATTGTGGCCTTCGGGT